AAGAATGGGAATCCCAGAACACTTGATAGTGCTTATGTGAAACCTATACTTAGACCAGAAGGCAGTCGTCAGAACAGAGTAAGGAAACACTGCATGGTTCAAAATGGGGAAGGGTGTATCCTGGAGATGTGTCCTATCTCCATACCTTTTCAATATATATACAGAACAGATCATCTGGGAAGCTGGGCTCTATGAGGAGAAATATGGAATCAGGATTGGAGGAAGACTAATTAACAACCTACATCATGCAGATGACACAAACCTACTTGCTAAAACTGAGGAGGACCTGAAGTGCATTCTGCAGAAGGTCGAGGACTGCAGCCCTCAATATGGATTGAAATTAAGCATCAAGAAAAGATTCGCACCACAGGGACAATTGGCAGCATCTAGATAGACAGAGAAGAGATTTAGATTGATAACAGCTTTAGTTTGCTTGGCTCCACAATAAACATTCTTGGTACCAGCAGCCAGGAAATTAAAAGACCAATTGCACTGAGAAAGTTTGCTGTCAGGGACCTCTCCAGAGTACTGAAGAGCAATAATGTCAGTCTGAAGACCAAGGTGTGCCAGGTCCAGGCCACAGTCTTTGCAATCACCTGCTATGTGTCAGAAAGCTGGACAATAACTAGGGATGATATAAAGAGAATTGATGTCTTTGAGCTGCAGTGCTGGAGAAGAGTATTGAATAAACCATGGACTGCTAGAAGAACAAACAGCTTCATCCTAGAGAGGGTGAAATCAAGCTGCTCCTTGGAGGCAAAGATTTTGAGGTTTTGTCTGACATACTTTGGGCATGTTGCAAGGAGGGGCAGTCCTTGGAGATGGACATCATGCTTGGAAGAGTGGAGGGACAATGCAAGAGAGGAAGACCCTTGATGAGATGTATTGATTCAGTGACTAGGGTAATGGGAATAGGTGTGTCAGAGACAATAAGATTGGCATAGGATAGAGAAGGTTTCAGGGTTGCTATGAGTCAGTCGCAAGCAGCTCGATGGCACATAACAACATCATACTGACTTGGTATGTTATAATATCATAATATTTCAAACTTTTTTCTTAATGCTATTACTCACCTAATAGTGTAAACAATTCTTTAAAATTTTTAAAAAGAAATTTATTTTAGTTTGCTTACAAAGTTTGTATACGTTGTGCTATACATTATCCTTTTTTCACATTGTGTTTCATTCTGATTCATTGTATTTTATGAAATCAATCAACTCTGAACTGTGCCCGCTATTGCCTCCTCCCTCCAGATCCCTTCCAGATCCCTCCCATTTCCCTGACCCAAAGACCCTGGTTTGATTCCGGGTCAATGTGCCCTGCACACAGCTACAACCCTATTATATTCAATAGGTTTCAGCGGAGATTCCAGACTAAGACCATCTACAAAGAAGGGGCTGCTAACCTATTTCCAATTACCACCAACAACTCAGTGGGTCGTAGTGGTCCAATTCCAAAGCAAACATGAGAATACTTCTATTATGAATGGTGTGGCCATGACTTGGGGGCCAACCCACTGACAGCTAACAAGAAAACCTGAATTCAGATTTTAGCCTTGTCACTTCCTAGTTGAGCCTACCTTTCCTTACAACTCATGGCCAATGATTTGGAGCTAACTCCTCTCTGATCCTTCAGCAGGTTTTCAAAGGCTGTAAATCACATGAGAGGAGAATGCCCATCTTTCTCTTGAGAAGTAGATGGTGGGCTTGAACTGCCCACCTTTGGGTTTTCAGTACAACTCTCTACCCATTAAACCAGAGCTCTCCTGTTTTCTATCTGTTAAAATGGAGAGGCTGATCACTCTTGAGTTCTTTGTGAGGAGCAAATGAGACTGTGATGTCCACAAGGCCAGAGTCTGGCTCTTGAAAGTACTTGGCACAGATTGGCTGCAATTACCATTGCATGGAAAATGACATTATCTATGGGGATAATTATTATGTATTTTTCACAGCAACTGTACAGATGAACAATGCATTTATTTTCATTTCTTCTGTTAAAAGTGGATGGATTGGGGTGGGTTGGTTTTTTTTTCTCCTCTGTTATATTTTAATTTCCTACATGTTACTAGTAAAACATATGTGACTTTGGCTGCTTCAACTCTGAAGAGCAAAATTGACAGAAGACACAGGTAACTCAAGGGCTCCTTTTCCAGTCTTCTTCCTCACCCTCTCTGCACCCTCCATGAGTCCTCTCTGCATTTCATAGTCTTTCCGTAATGGTGAAGGATGTTTCCATGATCATTCCTGCTGAGAATACTTGGGTGCTGTGCTGTGGTGTGCTGTTCGGTCTGCCCTCCAGCAGGAAGCTTTGCTTGTGAGCTGAGGAGGGCGCTGTTACACAAACCACCTTGTGGTCCACCCCAGGTAAATGGGATCTGAAGGGTCAGGAGAGCTACAGGACCCGGTAGAGGAGACTCCAGAGAATAAAAGGATATTAATTTAAATAGTTAAGCTTTACAGAGCATTTTCTCACTTCTATGTCAGAGGCGATGCTAAGACCTTTTCATGCATCAAGAGCTGTGGTGATGCAATGGTGAAGCACTTAATTGCTAAAGGTTGGTAGGGAGCCCTGGTGGCTTAGTTGTGAGAAGCTATGCTGTCAACCCAAAGGCACACAATTTGAATCCACCAGCTGCTCTGTGGGAGAAAGATGGGCAATCTCCTGTGTGATTTACTGCCTCTGAAGATCTGCTGGAAAGAAAGCTATTGTTGTTAGGTGCTGTCAAGTCAAGTACAATTCATAGCAATACTATGAACAAAAGATCTGAACCTAGTCCAGTACTGCCCTGTACCTTCCTCACACTTCCTGACACACCAAGAGTCCATTGCAGCAGTCATCTTGTCAATCCAGTTAGTTGAGGGTCTTCCTCTCTTTTGCCGACCCTCTACCCTTCTCAACATCATGTCCCTCTCCAAGGAATAACACCTCCTAGTAACATGCCCAAAGGATGTGAGGCAAATCCTCATCAGTCTTGCCTCCAAAGAGCACTATAGCTTCACCCTCTCCAAGATATATCTGTTCATTCTCTTGGTCCTCCATGGGATGTTCAGTGCTCTTCTCCAACACCACAGCTCAGAGACATCAATTCTTTTTCTGTCATCCTTATTCATTGTCCAACTATCAGATGCATAGAAAGGAATCAGAAAGACTATGGCCTGAATCAGACACACCTTAGTCAGCTATTAGCTTCAACTAGACAGCACACAACAAAAAAGGTTGGTGGTTCAAAACCAACCTAGGGGCTCCATGGGAGAAAAACCTGGCAATACAGTCCCATAGGAATTACAGGCAAGGAAATTCTATCTGGGCAGTTCCACTCTGTCATATGGGGTCACTGTAACTATAAGTCTGTCATATGAGGTCACTGTAACTAGAAGTCAGAGCTCCACAGCACCTAAGAACAAGTCTAATTTCTTCATCTCAATGATTTCATTATACAAGCCTCTCTAGAGATGGACAGACTTATCCTTAGGGAGTGTAAGTCATTTTCTCAAAGTCATCTTAGTAGCGAACTTGGAACATGGAAGAACCCAGAATCTTAACCCCAGTGGAATCTCTTTCTCTAAGGAAGCCAACTCTCTGGGACCCCACCTGCTCCATTACAGGAGGCCATGTTAAAATAGGTGCTAGAGCTAGTTCTGCTCCACACCTGTGGAGCAGAAACAGGTTTAGGTAATCAAAACAGGTTTGGGTAATAAATGAGCAGAGCTGGGTAACCTTCCTCAACCTTCAAGTCTCTGTCAGTGAGGGGAGCACCACGAAGGTATGGAAGTGAGTACAGAGGGAAAGTGGAATGGGCCAAAGCCAGCCTGCCTAATTCATTAGCAATACTACATGGCTGTTTCTGCTCGTGTGACTGGTGCTGTGCCGACAGCGTGACCATCCATAGATCTAGACTTGAGCATGGGCTCTGAAGATAGCAGGGCTTGTTCCCCGTTGTTGTGTACCTTTGAGTCAGAACCCATAGCTGACCTTCCAGCCCCAGGGTAGGCCGAGTGTTTTCTCTTTCTCTGTGTTGATCCACTGCAGGCGCCTGTAAGGACTGGGGACTGGGAGAGCCATGGGTTTGCAGGGTGAACAAAGACTGAAAAAGCCTGTTCCCTAGATTGCTTTTTAAAATACAGCATTCTCCCAGGGGCTGGGTATTTAAGTAGAGTTGCTTGATTCTACCTTTCTGCGGGGTTAGGAGAGGGAAGGGGGTGGGGGAGGGTGTTGTTCTTTGAATTTTATCCCATTACCATCAAAATCCAGAACAGTGTTGGCAACACAGGGCTTGGTAAACACCGAGTGGGAGGCTGTCCTCCCCATTACTTCAGTAGGACTGGGCTTTGGAAGTAGAAGGCTGCTGACCTAGGGTCTGAGCTCACTCCCTGGCTCTAAGACGTTTCTGGGGCATTGGTCCCACTCAGAGGGGCTGGAATCAGGGCTAGCACTCAGTGGGGCAGAATCGAGTTTGTCACACTCCACAGTCACACCCTTTGGGCTCATGAAGGATCTGGTTACTGACCTCCTATGTGGTTACTTGGCCAGCATTTATAGCTTATTGTGGACCAGGAACTAAGCTCTGAATCCCCAGGCCCCCTTTCACTAAGTGGAGTCTATGGTTGGTGCAAATGGCTAGTGTATTTGGTTTCTAATCTCAGATTCCCCCCCCTACCCCACACCCTGAGGTATTCTATAACAAAGGAGTGGCCATCTACATTTGGACAGCCAACCATGGAGAACCTATGGAAGGCAGCTCTACAGTTTCAGTCTGTGGTTCTACAGAATGGTTGGGATGGAGTGTCTAAAGTTTGATCTTCTACGATACTGCCTCAGATCTGAGGAGCAGCCAGGGCCATTGCCACCTGAAGGACCCTTGACCCTGTGTTCCCTCCTCAGTGCTCAGTGTGATGAGGGAGGGGGCTGAGGGCACCCAATCTCTGAAGAGAGCGAGTGGGTCTCTTCTGCAGCAGGTCATGGCACAGTGGTGGCAGCTCCTGCTAGGGCTGTGGACAGTCATGCCCACCTGGACTGAGGACCAGCAACTCAACATGTGCATGAGTACCAAACACCACAAGAGAGAGCCGGGACCAGAAGATAAGCTCTACGAGGAGGTACGGAGGACATAATAGTTGGCCTGGGGGTTGGAGGGGGATACCACTGCTGAGGTGATCTCACAACCCCTACAAGCCAGGGCTTATATGGTTCTTAGGCTGGAATTGAAAAATTCGAGGAAGACAGCGATCTTTGCAGGGAGCTCTGGTGGCCTAGTACTAAGGAGCTGTGCTGCCAACCTGAAGGCCCATGATTCGCATGAATCCACCAGCTGTTCTGCAAGAAAAAGATGGGCAATCTCCACCCATGTCATTTGCTGTGTCTGAAAACCATCTGGAGGGTCAACTGTGGGTCTGTTCTGACTTGACAGTACACAACAATAGCATGATCTTTGCAGACTGTAGAGTCCAAAGATTTCAAGTTCCCATCTCTGAGAAGTTCCAGCCATGTGGGAAGCAGGGTCAAATGGTGACCCCAGAAACCAGTGTTGGTTCAGCACAGAAAACAAGCCATATCCTTCTTCCTGTCAGCAGGCTCTGGGAAGACATCCACACATCCCTTGCTTCACTTACACTTAAATGTGCTTCCCCCCCCACCCACTCCTTTTTTCTAATACAACATGTGTGGCACCTCAGCCTTGAACAAATCTGTTGTTATTTTTCCATCCGTTTGTGCTCACTTCACATCTCTGTGTCACATCATGCTGATTGTGACAATATTTTAAACGTTGTCACAATTGCACAATTGATAGACCTCAGTCAAGTACAGAGTTTTATATGCACCAAATACCTGGAAAGTTCAAATGATGCATTTGATTGTGATACTCACTTGAATGTGGTGGTCCGCCACGAAACTGACAACATGTCCAATCACCCTCCTCTGAGCTCCTGAAGGAAACGGATTAGAATGAAGGAGGAAGAGCTGTGGAATAAGCAAGGGTCAGTCTGTGATCCTTCTCAGCAACAAGTACCCTCCCACTCAATTCCTTCGCATATTCCTAGGTCTTGCTGGGCTCCATCCTCCACTTGTTTCCTCCCAGCGGCCTCCACCACTTCTCAAGAGCTGAAACTCTCAAAGTCGTACTTGTAGGACATGGTAGGAAATTGTGGGCTCTCTTATGGCAGAGATCATGAGGACGGCATAGGTTAGGACAAGGCTCTGACCTCTTGTATGTAGGGTTGGTCAGTCTCTCTGAGTTGTAGTCAACTTGATGGCATCTAACAACAACATGGCGAGAGACCTGTGCATAGGATGCTGCTATCCTTTGATGTGAAGATTGACAAATTACCAGGGCTCTGCTGACAGTCAGAGGTGCTCTGTTAGCTCAAGTGTTAAATGCTCAGCTGCTAACCAAAAGATTGGTGGTTCAAACCTAACCAGATGCTTACTGGACAAAGACGTGGTGATCTGATCCTATGAAGATTATTATATATTGTTTTGTTCTAGTGAGTAGGAACCGACTCATAGCTGACCCTTCAGTGGATTTTCAGAAGCTGTAAATCACATGGGAAGAGGTTGCCCACTTTTGTCCTGCAGAGCAGCTGATGAATTTTAACTCCGTGCCTTTGGGTTGGCAGCACAACTCCCTACCCACTAGGCTACCAGGCTCTCTCCATTAAAGCGTAGAGAACCTCAAGGGGCCATTCTCCCCTATTTTGTAGAGTTATGAGTTAGAATCCACTCAGCTGCCCCTAATGACACTTATTAACCAGGTAGGTGGTTGTTAGCCTACAGGAACCCCATAAGCCCAAGCCCCTCCTTGGAGACGTTACTCTGCATGATCACACTGTCCCCTAGATGCTCACCTCTGTGCTCCATCCTCAGTGCTTCCCCTGGAAAGACAACGCCTGCTGCACAGTCGATACCAGCTGGGGGGCCCACCTGGATGTGTCCCCACTCCACAACCACAGCCTGACTCACTGTGGGCTTCTGGTCCCCAGCTGTCAGAAGCATTTTATCCAAGCCACCTGCTTCTACGCTTGCTCCCCAAACCTGGGGCCTTGGATCCAGCAGGTGGGAAGCTGTTGGGTGCCATGTCTGTTACTAAGAGCCTGGCTCATTTGATCTTATGCCGGTGTCTTCGGGATACTAGCAGGATCAGGAGACGTGGGTCTCTGTGGATGCAGCGGGGTCAGAGGCTCCCAGTTGGGAAAGGGGTAGAGATGTCCTTCCTCCAACCTGCAGATCCTGGTGGGAGAGACTGGTCTTACGAGAATAGTAAGATAAAAAAGATTGTTCTTAAAGGACAACTTGATGGAGGTGGATGCACCTGTGTTCAAATCTCATGCTTCGAATGTATTACTGGTGTGTGCTAAGACGAGCCTGATTGCTCTCATCTGCAAGATAATGCTTTCTAGACTGGATGAAAAGAGATGAAGCACATAGAGTGCTGGGCACAAGTGTTAGTGTAGCTATTAATAACTTTCAGTTGGTCCCTGTTTATTTTCTTGTCTGTCTCTGTGCCCCTTGTCCCCGTGGGCAGGGGAAGCATGTGCTGGATGTGCCGCTGTGCAAGGAGGACTGTGAGCAGTGGTGGGATGACTGCCGCACCTCCTTCACGTGCAAGACCAACTGGCAAGACGGCTGGGACTGGAGTCAGGGTGAGTGCGTGCCACAGGGCAGGTACGAACCCCTTTCTTTCCATGAACAGAGTGGGAGGAGGCTGAAGATGAGGATGTTGGTGGTGGTATGTGCCATCGAGTTGCCTATGACTCATAGTGACACTGTGAACAATAGCTTTGAACTTCGCCCAGTCCTGAGTCAACCCCACCATCTCTGACACAACTGACTTCATTGCCACAGTCACTGTGTCAGTCCATCTCATCCAGGGTCTTCCTCTCCTGCACTGACCCTCTACCCTTCCAAGCATGATGTCCTTTTCCAAGGACTGATCCTTCTGTCAACATGTCCATAGTATGTGAAACGGAGCTTCAAAATCTTTGTTTCCAAGGAGCAAACTGCTTTCACCCTGAGCTCTGGTGGCTTAGAGATAAGAAGTTGCACTGCCAACCCAAAGGCATGTGGTTTTAATCTACCTGCTGCTCCATGGGAGAAAGATGTGCAATTTATTCCTAGGAGATTTACTGTCTCTGAAAACTAGAGAGTCAACTATGAATCAGTCCTAACTAACAGTATACAACAACCAATACACACACATACACATGCATACAAATCAATCTGTACATTATGCTTAAAGTGTCTAGAAGGTGGGGTTGAGGCAGGCAAATGCCTTCTTTCTTTTGCCCAGTCATTGGGGGTATGAAGTGGAAATGTGGGGTAGAAGGTAAGCCGTGTGTGTCTTACCCACAGGGAAGGGACGCTGCCCTGCAGGGGCTCGCTGCCACCCTTTTCCCCATTACTTCCCCACCCCGGCTGACCTGTGTGAGAAGATCCTGAGCCACTCCTTCAAGGCCAGCCCTGAGAGCCGAGGCAGCGGGCTGTGTGTTCAGAAGTGGTTTGATCCAGCTCGGGGCAACCCTAATGTGGCAGTGGCCCGCCTCTTCGCCAGTTCTGGCCCTTCCTGGGAACTCTCCCACCCCCTCCTGGCCTTCTCTCTGTTCTTGTCATTCCATTCCTGAGAGTCTTTTGTCCCCTACCTCCCATTACTCCCATTGCTGTGGCTCAAGGGGTCCCCTCCATCAGAGGATCACATCCCACTGGGCTAGAGTTTTGGAAACCTGACTCCTTTCTTAAAGTGTGGAGGATCGGAGAGGACATTGGGAGGCAGAAGATGTGTCCTATCCTACCTCCTCTCCTGCTCTCTTGGGCAAGGGAGGCACCTGGGGAAGCAGGTCACAGGGGCTCTATTTTCACCTAAGTTTATAAGAACGATGCAGACATGGAATCTCAGACTCTTAGTGATGATGCCTCCAATAAAATGGTAGTTGGCCGTCTCTTTGTGTGTGGTCCCTCTGTTGCACCCCTATGTGCCAGAGCTGAGCTGTACACAGCAGTCAGTCAGGTTAGACTTACCGTCTTAATTATGGGGTTTAGCTCTAACAGAGGTACGAGTGCTTGGCTTTCCAAAGCAAATTTATTTTTTTTTTTGCAGTTTAGGAAGCTGTTGTTGTTTGATGACATTGAGTTCAGCACAACTTACTGTGACCCTGTGAACAACAGATCTGAATCCTATCCTATCTTGTGTCAATCCTCACACTATCTGACACATTGAGCCCATTGCTATAGTCACTGTGTCAATCCATATCTTTGGATGGGTAGTTTATTGACCCTTTACCCTTCCAAGGAATAGCCTAACAACATGCCCAAAGTATGAGAGATGAGGCTTTGCCATCTTTGCCTCTAAAAAGCTCTCTCCGGCCACACTTTTTCCAAGACATATATGTTTGTTCTTTTGGTCATTCCTAAGGGAAGGCTTTCCTTCTGCATCAGCCTTGGAGGGAGGAACCTGTTCCTTCTCAACATCTGCGAGCATCTTGGCTGTCCACTCTGTAAGAGGCTCCCAGGGGCCCAAGGATCAGGAGCCAAAGGGAGTGTTCTGTGTCCAGCTTTTCTTTCTTTCATGTCAGCAATAGGTTCCTCTTTCTCTGATTGCTTGTTTCCTTTCATCTCCTTTAAGATCAAAGATGTTGCAGTCACACTGCAGGGCAACTCACTTAGATCAGAACAGGGCTGTAACAAGACTAAGAGTGTTGTCACTAGAGTGATGTTATCTCTTCCCCAAGGGCCAGTGTTGAATTCTTCCTTAGCTTACTATCAAATTTAATCATAGAACTGAGAAAAACAACAAGAACAAAATAATTGCTGTCAAGATGAGGCAACTTACAACTAACGCTCCACTGGGTTTCTGAGTTTAAAAATTGCATGGGAAGTCCATCTGTTTCCAGAGGTGTCGCTAGTGGATTTGAACCTCAAGAAATATGCCACCCTTCCAAACATGATGGGTTAATAGTGCAATTCCCTGAAAACTACTCCACCAGAACTCCAAGAATTGTAGAATATGTGATAAATAAAGCTATGAATTACTTAAGTGTCTGTGTGTGTGTGTGTGTGTGTGTGTGTTGTGTAGCATGTTATGAACCAACTCATAGGTGACCCTCTAGCAGGTTTTCAGAGACAGTAATTTGCAGTAATGGGAGATTGTCCAATGGGAGAGTCTCAGAGCAACTGGCACGTTCAAACTGGCTTTGAGCTGACAGCCAAGAATGACTGATGTCTGTTTTGTCCTTCCTAATGGAGTCAGTACCAAAATAATTGACTGACTCTAAAAAATTTCAGGAAGTACCATATGAGCAGGAGCCAATGTTAATGAAGTAGGAAGGCGAAGCTGTGCTGAAGGCATTGGCAAAAAATAAGGAGCTTGGAATTGATGTGATACAAATCAGCATGTTTCAATTAATGGAAGCAGCCCTGAATGTGCTCACCAGTCTATGATAGGAAATTTGGAGGATGGCTATCTGGCCAACTGATTGAAAGAGTTCCATATTTATTCCCATTCCCAAGGAAAGTGATCAAATAGAATGTGGAAACTATTGAGCAATATCATTAATGTTATATGCAAGAAAAATACTGCTAAATATAATTAAGAAATGTCTAGAACAGTACATAGACGGACAACTGCCAGAATTAAAAGGAGGTCTTAATAGAAGCTATTGCACCAGGGATAACATTGCTGATGACAGATGGATCTTGGCTGAAAGTAAAGAATACCAGAAGAATGTCTATTTATGCTTTATAGACTGTGCAAAGCATTTGACATAACAAGTACAAATTATAGCTAACATTGAGAAGAATGGGAATCCCAGAACATTAATTGTTTATGTAAAACGTAGACCAAGAGTCTCTTGTGCAAAAAATGCAAGGAACACTACAAGGTTTAAAATTACTAATGAAGGAATATTTTTTTTTCTTTTTCTCTTCAGAGTGGGGAGCAAGCTGGTGGGGAGGGGTGGGCAGGGAGAAAAGTGCGGCAATAAATGAATGGAAATCTAAAACCTCTGTAAATGTCTATTAAAATTAATAATTAAAAAAATTAAAACAGGGATGTGTCAGGGTTGTACCCTCTCTCACACTTTATTCAATCTTGTATGCTGAGCAAGTTATTCAAGAAGCTGGAATCTATGAAGAAGCATGTGGCATCAAGATGGGAGGAAAACTCATCAATAGCCTGTGTTTTGCAGATGACACAACCTTGCTTGCTGAAAGTGAGGAGAACTTGAAATACTTGTTGCAGGAGATCAAACACTACAGCCTTCAAAATGGATTGCATCTCAGCATAAAGAAGACACAAATTCTGACCACTGGACTGATAGACATCATGATAGATGGGGAAAAGATGAAAGATGTCAATGATTTCATCTTACTTGGATCCACAATCAACAGCATTAGTACCAGCAGTCAGGAAATCAGAGGACATATTGCACTGGGAAATTCTGCAGTCAGGGACCTCTCCAGATTATTGAGGAACAATAATGTCAGTTTGAGGACTAAAGTGCAGCAGATTCAGGCCACAGTCTTTCTGATCACTTGCTAAACATCTGAGAGCTGAACAATGAGTAAGGACGTCAGAAGAATTGATGCCTTTGAGCTGTGGTGTTGGAGAAGAGTATTGAAAGGATGGCCAAGAGAACAAACAAATATATCTTGGAGAAAGTACAACTACAGTGTTCCTCAGAGGCAAGATTGTTAAAGCTTCAACTCACATACTTTAGGCATGTTGCTAGGAGAGGCTATTCCTTGGAGAAGGACATCATTTTACAACACGAGGAGGGTCAGTGAAAGAGAGGAAGACCTCACCCAGGTGGATTGACACGATGACTGCCACAATGGCCTCTAATAAGTTAGGAAGTGTGAGGATGGCACAGGATAAGACAGGGTTCAGATCTGTCACTTTGGGTTGGACTTGACAACATGTTAACAAAAATTGAGTCAGTAAAGTGTCAAAATACTCATGGCTTTAGGACTTTGAAGTTGGCAAATATTTGTGATGCATGAAAAGCAGGAGTTTATATTGTGTGGACTCAACCACATAAAAATGCATGCTTGGTTATATGTGTATGTACATAGGATATAAATGGACATATATTAGTAAAGATGATTGTGAGTGGGTTTTTGTATAGTTTCTTCTCTGCTTTTCTGTTTTCTAGAATGCACATGTTTTAAAAGTTTAAAGAGAAAAAAAGATGTTCTATTAAAAACCTACATGAATTCCTCATTGCTTATAGAACAAAGCTAACTCTTCACACAATAAAGGATATTTTAATAAAGGTTAATTTTTGCCAAAACACTGCACAAAAATTTTACTGTCATTTTGATATTGCCTCCTTTCACAATGTCACCCGGCATGGCCCACCTCCCTACATTCCTCTATGATGCCATTGTGCACAGAGACTTTTAATTGTTCTTCAATTGACCAATTGTGGCTTAAAAATGTCTAAAGTCTATTGTTGTTGTTATGTGCCATCGAGTCGCTTGTGACTCATAGCGACCTAATGTGCAAGAGTCCTAAACGCCGTTCTATCCTGTGCCAACCTAGCCATCTCAAAAGCACTCATTCCCACCACTCCACTCACAGAATCGATCCATCTCATCAAAGGTTTTCCTCTCCTGTGCTGCTCCTCCACTCTGCCAAACATGACGTCCCTCTCCAAGGACCAGTCCCTCCTTGCAACATGCCCAAAGTATGTCAGATGAAGCTTCAGAATCCTTGACTCCAAGGAGCAAAATAAAATGTCTGTGGTTGTGTGCTAGGTTAGAAACAAAGCCGAAAGGTCAGTGATTTTTAAAATTTATTAGTGCTTTTAGATAAGCATAATATACAACCAGATAGTTAAATGTAAAAGAAATAGATGTAAATATCTAAAATAGACAGAATTGGATTAAAGTACTCAAAAGAAGGAAATACCGCAATTTTCACCAAGTTAATTCTGAGTCATGACGACACATGGGGTGGGAGTAGAATTGCTCCACAGCGTTGCCAATGACTGATTTGGATGTAGATCATCAGACCTTTCTTCTGAGGCATTTCTGAGTGGACTCAAACTTCCAACTTTTCATTTAACAGTATGGTAATGTTTTGTGCAGCAACGAAGCTCTCTCATTGTTGTTGAGTTGGTTATGACTCATAGCTGGCCTTCCAGCTGGTTCCCAAGGCTATAAATAGCACAGGAAGAGATTGCCTATCTTTCTTCCCCAGGGTAACTGGTGGATTCCAACTGTGTGCCTTTGGCTTGGCAGCACAGCTTCTTACCAATAGGCCACCAGAGCCCCCAAAACAAGACCTGTTGTTCATTGCTGTCAAGTTGGAGCTGAGTCACAGCTGACACCCCAGAGAGTTTTCAGAAACAGTAAACCACACGGTAGGAGACTGCGCATCCATTTCCCACAAAGCAGCTGGTGGATTCTAACTGCATGCCTTCAGAATTGCAGCACAGCTGCTTGCTACTAGGCCACTAGAGCTTCCTGAAACAAGACTGAAGGGACATTATTTATCACTACTATTTGTTGATCACTCACTGCGGTCTACATGCTCTCATGTATGTAACATTTGAACCTCACACAGACCAATCCACTTCAACTCATAACAATGCCGTGCAGCAGAGTAGAATTGCTCCCACAGGAT